GTGTCACTTTCACTCTCTCTTTACTGAAACTTCACTGTTACTGTCAATGTTTCTCCGCGATTTTGTCACCATCTCTCTGTGTCACTGTCAACGTCAGTATCACTATCTCTGTATCTGTCATTGTCAAAGTCACTCACTTTATCTTTCAATGTCTATTTCAGTATCATTCTCTTTGTCGCTGTCAGTGTCACTCTCTGTCACTATCAATGTCACTGTTACTGACCATGCAACTGGCATTACCTTCGTCACTTTCACTTTCAGTGTTACTTTTTCTATCAGTCTCTTTCCCTCTTATTTTCCTGTCACTGTTCTTGTGACTGTTTCTTTTACAATATCTGTCACTTTCAATGTCTCTTTCACCGCGATTGTCGATTTTTCTCTCGCTGTCGCAATCAGTGTCATCTCTTTGTGACTCTTCCCGCCACTGTAATTTTCTCTGTCACTGTTATACTGAAAATGTTTTTCTCTCTTTCTCTTTTTCTGTCTCTGTCATTGTCACTGTCTCTGTCGTTAGTACTGTCGATGTTGATGTCGTTGTTAATGTGAGTGTCTTTGTCTTTTTCAGTGTCTGTCTTTGTCTCTGTCACTGTTATTGTATCTGTGACTGTTACTGTCTCTGTCATTGTCATCGTCAATGTGACTGTCGCCCTCTCTGTCTCTTTCAGTGTCAGTGTCAGTGTCATTGTCATCGTCACTGTCAAACAATTGTTTAAATAAAAGCGAAAACTTAATTAACGCTTACTGTTCAATGAAAAAACACTAACGTCAAATAAGTTAGTCTTAGCAACACACCCACTTTTAACCATCGCACAACAAGGAAAACTAAAAGTGCGTGAGATATTATCAAAGCAATTGCAAATGAAGGAAAACTAAAATAATGCGAGATACTAACGTAACAATCGCACAAAAGGAAAGACTAAGAGACATCGTAATACTAACTTAACAATCTGGCAACATGGAAAAAAATAGAAGAGGGTGATATACTGACTTGGACACCAGGCAAAACCTAAAGTTCGTGATACACCAGAGTAACAATCAGTCAACAAGGAAAACTGAAAATGCATAAGATACTAACATAACAATCAGACAACGAGAAAATTTTTAGTGCACGAAACACTAAGGTAACAATCGGACACCAAGGAAAACTAAAAGGAATAAAAACAAGTATACGAGAAGATACTAATAAAGACGACTAAATGTGCAAAAGAATACAACATTCAATCTGGCAACAAAGGAAGACTAAAAGTGTAGTAGATATTTACTTAATAATCGGACAACCAGGAAAACTAAAAAAGCGAGAGATATTAACAAAACAATCGGAAAACTAAAAGTGCACGAGACACTAACGTAACTATAAAAAAAAAACAATAGGGAAACAATTAGTGAACAAAAAAATCGGACAGAAAGGAAACCTTAAAGTTTTCAAGATACAATCATAAGAAATGGACACTAAGAAAACTAAACGTGCTCGAGTAACTAACATAACAATTGGAGAGAATTGATGAATGAATGAATTTAAAATGCATCAGATTTTAACGAAACAACCGGACACCACAGAAAACAAAAAGTGCACGAAATAAAAACGTACTAATCGGACAACATGAAAAGCTAAAAGAGATTTTTAGATGTATAACGTAAAATTAAGACAACAAGGAAACGTGGGTTGGATACTTAAGTAAGAGTCGGGCGACAAGAAAAACTTAAAGTGTACGAGATAATAAGGTTATTATTGGAAAACGAGGAACACCGAAAGAGCACAGAATCATGACTAACGTAACAATCTGGCAACAAGGACAACTAATGGTGTGAAAGACCTTAAGGTAACAATCGCACAGCAACGAATACTAAAAAAGTGCAAGATACTGACTGAAAAAGCGGAAAACAATGAGAATTAGGAGTGTGAGAAATATTAACGGAACAATCTGGCAGCAACGAAAGCTAAAAAAGTGCTAGATACAAACTTAGTAATTGAACAGCAAGGACAACTGGCAATCGGAGATCGATGTTAACTGAAATTGCACGATATACTAACTATATATATGACTCATAACTCAGACTTATAATGTGTACTTTACTTTACTAACTAATGATTCACATAGGCATACTCCGAGCAAAAAATTCCGATTGCTTCCGATAGAAGTTAAAACTACGACCTTCCGACTAGCACTTCGGACGCTCTACCCTGAGCTATGAGATCATGAGGGCCTCGTGGCAAGTTTGGCCCTTTACCTAAGCCCAAGGGGACAAATTTCCTACATACTGGGAGATAGGAACTTGGATTTGTGATACTTATGCGTAATGACGATGTAAATGAAGATGATAAATTCAAAGGTTCCTGATTTGAGCAAAGGAGGCTGTTATACAGGGAATGACGCTGGCATTCGGCGAGGAAAAAAAATCTGAGTGCTCTCGAAAGGAGTTGAAGCTACGACCTTTCGGACGCTCTACCATTGAGCTATATGAGACTTGTGGCTAGCTGGGCTGTTTAACTGGGTCCATTTTAGTAAGAAGGAATATAGCCAGTTATATCAGTTAACTTTCTACGGTACATTTCAGCCCGAAATCTGATCCTTCCATCTTTCCCTCAGGTTTGGACATGATTTACCAGATCGACTACTTCAGAAAACTTGAGTAAAAAAATGATAATTTTATGCTTACTAAAACATATGCAATGTTTATTAAGACAACTAGCGTATTTAAACAAACACAGGGTTGTTGATTACAAATAATTTTACAAAGAACTGCAGAAGCTCAAAGGGTAATTTCAATTCGAGGTTCCCAAAAATGAACTCAAAGTACTTAATTTCGCTTAGAGGTCCAACGTTCATCACAACAATTAGCTAATCCATAAAAATCGCTCAAGTGTGGTACCTTAAAGATTGATATGTTTCGGCAGGGAGTGGAACTGAGACGGGCTCGCAGTTTAAGCGGGAACTCTTGATCAGTGAAAGACCCTCCAATGTTCAGCTCTTAGGAGACGCTGTTACCGATTGGCTTTGGACATGAGTTTGTAAGGCGCTCCGCAAGATAATTACTTCGGCAATAGGAGACGTAACAATAGCATCAAGGTCTGTGGTCGATAGGCTACGATCTACAACGTGGATATCGTATGAGGCACAAGATCTTCTTACGCCTCTCTTCAATAATCTAACAACAAGCCCATAGGATACTTTTCCTAACATCCACAAGTTTTCGAAGGAAACCACCGGTACCAAGACTTCGATCGCTATTCTTCTCCGGAAATTCCCACCAAGACGATGACATACGCATATGATCAGTACCTAAAATACTGACCGATCTCATCCATCAACACCATACGAGAGAAAAAATTGCGGCAATGTATTTCCCCCGTCCCTCATATAGATGGAACCAAGGTTGGGCTTTATCCAAACGTTAGATCTTACCATTCTCGTAACCCCTCACAACGAAATGGGAAATAACGGAAGTCAATTTTCGTTTTTTCGTTTAAAAAACGACAGAACGGAAGTTGACTTTGTTTCTTTGCTATTCGTCCTAGAGTAGAGGTAATGGAACGTTATATAAAAAATTTCTGCAAATTTTGGAGATTTTGACGTTTTTCTTTCGTTAACATGATAGGTTAAGTAGTTTTCAACTCAGATACCAGTAACATAATGTTTTTTCTCAGACTGTCTTTCTCTCACTACCTTATCACGTTATAAGCCCTTAAAAATTTGTTTTGATGCTCAAGCTTTCGAGTTTTCAACCAATACCTCTGGTGGGCAATTAGGCCGGTAACTAATACAGAATGCGGTCTTTTTCGATAAACGGGAGGTTTTCAGCCAATTAGAGCGCGCGCAGTATCCTATTTTTTTCATCAGTGATGCGTGATATATATTCTCAGCTCCGAGGCTCTCCGATCTCTTCCAAGACACTCAAGTGGCCTCGACATCGAACGACAATCGATGTAGGGTTTCTTCTTTTGTTATTCTTGACAAGTGATCGAATTTTCTGTTGCTTTTCAAATTTTCGGACAGTCTCAGACTCTCTCACAACTCCTTCAAGACCTTTTTCGCCCCAAAACAAACCTCACAACTGAAGGAAGGTTCGTATTTTATTCATTCTATTTGAAGAAAACGACAAAACTTTTAAGTATGTAAAACATGTCTCGTGTGTTCAGTTAATTAAAGTACAAAGCGTCGGAAGTTGAATAAAAGTGTGAGAATTAAAAGGATAGCTTAAGATTAAAATGGCCTAATTGTTGATTCAAAGAGGGTTGTTCTCTCTGAATATGAATAACCTCTTTTTTCTTGAGTTGAAAACCGGTAGGGGCGTGATCCAAAACATAGAATCTATCTGCTAAACACAAAGCGCCACAATGTTCAGAATCTTGCAGATGTTTAAAAATGTGGATTTGTGAATTTATTCATTTTAAAAATAATTTACAGGCACGAGCGCACCGTGTGGTAAAACCAGTGATCCTCTAACTAGTGCGATATACGAGTTGTGTCGCGTTTCCCAAAATTTACCTTAACTTACATTTTTACAACAACAAAATCATCAGTATATGTCCTCTCATCGGTGATTCAGGGTCTAAGGGTAAATAATGGACATAGCCATTAGACATCACGATGTCTTTTAATATCATCTCGTTTACAATGAGCACTAGTAAAATTGACATCATGGATATTTTCTTATTTTCATTGGCAGGTGTTTAAAGAAAAATGAGGGTTTTCTCACGAAATGTTTCACGTATTCGCGGTTGGCTCCCTATTTTCATGTCACTTATTTTCTTGTCAGTAGGCGTTATTAGTTGTGAAATAATTATGACCTCAAGTCCATATAAATAAAAAACACCTGGTTTTATTTCGTTTTTTTTTTCTCTTGGAAACGTTATAATAAGTATCCTGAAATAACTTCGAGGATTGTCATAAATTTTCTTTAACTTTAAAAAAGGACTGAACATTTGAGTTGAATGAAACTCGTGCAACAATTTTTAAAACTAATGTGCACACACTGTTTCCATTTTCTAAACTGCACCAATGAAAAACAAGAAGTAATTCCACCATTTAGAAGATGAGTCAAGTTTCACTTTAATTGACTAGTAAGAAGATGTATCGATGAGGTGACTAATGTTCTCTTTATTCGTGTACACACAGTCATTGCCCCCTAAGATGTACCCACTTGGTGTTCATAAACCAACAATGAGGGCTAGGTTACTTCTCGTCGTTTCCTTCGTAGTCAATTTCAAAATTCATCACAGTTCCAACACTGTTTTCCTGCAAAAATTTATGCAGTTTAATCTAACTTCTCCAGGGGAAGAGACTTTTTCACCAACAGATTCGAGACCAGAAGCAAACTCAAGCGATACCTCTAATGACTCTAACGTTCCTACGTTCGACCTTGGGCACTCTCCCGTTTGTCCAAGCGAGATGAACATATTTTGGCAACTGAGGCCACCGTTCACTTCGGAAAGAAATGATAGCAAAGATAAACCGACTGATGGGATTTTCCATCAAGCTTTAGATTTCGCCTTAGGCGAGTGCTGCCAATTTTACAGGGGAAATAAACCTGTAATGCGTTACTTAGAAATGACCGATAATTCGACTTCGCTTCGCAGCCATATTCTCGCAGATGAAACGAGCTTGGTGTTTCCCGTACAAGAAGATTGGTTCATAGGTCGTATGCTCTACATTAATGTATTGGATTCTCCTGGAGTTGTTTTGATTCGAAGAGAAACTTTTTATTCAACGGAGAGAAGAACTCAGCTGTTGAAAGCGATTTTTGGAACGTGGCCTATCGTAATTTTAAGCCTTTTGTTATCGTCTGTTGCTGGAATCTTCATATGGATGTTGGTAAGTCACGCATTCAGTAAAAATTCAAACAACTTTTGCATTTATAAATGCAACAGCAGTAGACTTCAAGGCCTTAAAAGGCCTGGAAGTATTGCTAATTTTGTAAATAGTTCAACAGATGTATACAGCTTTTATCTTTAACTACATTAAAACCGTAAGTGAAGAGGCAAAGACTTTAGTCACTTCCATGATAATTTGGATTGCTCAAGCCAATACTGCTGGAATAGATTTATGAATTTCGAGGATCAACACTAAATAAAACATTTGGTGAAAATACAAAGACAGCTGCACCTTTAAATTACTCCGTTTACGTCGTATCTAATAGTGAACATTATCTACAGAACACTCTTGGCCTACTTGTCCTTTTATATGTGAGTATTATTTAGTGTGGATCCCGCTTCTTACCTTTTACCTTTTCTCACCCTCGCAATAATCCGCAAAACCCTCAAGAGCCTCAAGTTAAAAATATTTTCTCTAACTTACGTCTAGAAAATTTAGAGATACTTTTTTTTAATTTCAGATAACTTTTGTTAGCTCTGTGTGTTATAATTTTGCATTAGAATCACAAACCTTTGAATGATCAATTGATCTGGAGGGCATATCTTCATGTGGGTCTGAATTTGGAAAACAAATGGATAAAGTGGAAATCATGCGCTGTAAAGATCCGCTCTACGCTATTTAAACCACACTCTGTTGACTACTAATTGATTTGTTTTCCTTTTGTTCCAAGGAAACTAGAACAAACAAAGAGGAGTTTGGTCGTCCTTTCTACCGTGGAGCTTTTGATGGATTCTGGTGGGCGTTTGTCACCATGTCAACAGTCGGGTTAGTTATTTTATACAGTTTAAAGTACAGGCTTTCTGTTAAATAAATTTGAAAATCCGTTTGGTGTCCAAAAACGACGAAAGGAGATCTTGGTGTACCGTGCGTATGGCTGTACCTACAGTTTTTCGCAACTTCCAATTTTTGAAATCTAATGATTACAGTAAAACAGAATGTAGAATGTGCTCATTGATTGACAGCCTTTCACACAACGCGAAACTGGGATAGTATAGCTTTCTCTGCATACTCAACCCTGTTCCGCTCTGCCCTGTCAGCTTATAGCCAACCACTCACTCGTTTTATCTCATTTCTTCTATGGTGAAATTTTACTGATGGAAAGTAACAGTATCTATGATCACTTCAGGTATCGGTTTAACTCATCTGATCCTGAGGTAGTAATTAAAAAAATGTATTCGCCGATATAGTACTTTAAACATTCAGTTCGCTTGCTCAGAATTATAGCCCTTAATAAGGAAAAAATTAAAATCAGCATTTAATTGTTCTTTTGATGTGTCGCACAATCCAGATATGGTGATAAAACCCCAAAGTCAATAGGTGGCAGGTTGTTTTCTGTGGTATGGATTATAACTGGAATCACTGTATGCTCTGTACTGACTGCCACACTTGCAAGTGCTTTGACGAATGTCACAGTGGAAAGATATGATGTCACCGCAACAAAAACCGTAAGCCGTATCTAACAATTAAGTTTTATGTATCTATTGTAGCACTGTGAAGTATTCCAGGTTGTTTTAATATAATTTGAAAAAGCATGAATGTTACTGACCAAGTATGCGTAATGACCCTCCATTCTGACATCATATCTATACGCTGATGCATTTATGACCACTGCCTTCGAGACTTTAACAAGATTATAGCAATGTGTGATAAAATTGCAGATTGGCGCTCAGAAGGAAAGCTTTGCCTTTAAGCAAGCTGTAAACCTCGGAGCAAACGTTGCAGGTAAGCAAAGGGGCTGCGGCGGAAATGCTATTAAACTCACTTATGTAATCTGGCTCTGCAAGGAAGACCAACTAAGAAAATTCAGACCAATATAGATTGGTCGTCATATCCATGATAGACTCGTAACGGCGAAAGGCTTTAAAACACTGATGGAAAGTTAGAACGTTTGGTTTCGTTTTAAGAAGCATGCTCCTATATAAAAGTTTACATCGACGATAATAACTTTTATCATGACACTGAAAAACTTATAATTAATGTTAAGAGTAATTTAGGCGTTTCTTCATGCATTTATCATTAAAAAATAATCGGTTGTCAATTTTCTTTGTTTTTTTCATTAGAATTTGAAAACCTTCAGGAAGCGTTCTTTTCTTTGGAAAACGGATCTGTAGAAGGTATTTTGGAGGAAATGTTCACCGGGATTGAGTTTATGAAACGGAAACGTAATGAAGGATTATCGGTTGCTCAAGTGTTTGAAAGACAACACTACTACGGTGCAGGAATAAAAAGGGATGGCTTCAGTGCTAAGGTGTTGGACTGCCTACAAAAAGTCGTCAACTTTGTCTCTGAGGATATCTATTCCAATACAAGCAGACTTCTTAAATCTTTCAAAGTAAGGTCTTCACACGTGAGTTATACCCCCTTTTAGGGGCTTTACGAGCCAGTCCAGGCGGCTAAATAAAGCCCTACAGATACTAATTTCAAGTTTTGATTTCCTTTAAGTAAACAACTAACGCACCATTTAATATTTACAGTGAGTGAGATCAATGTAGCTGTCTTCGGCTTTTAAAAAATGTATTTCTGAAATTGTGTTAATTATAGTTTCACGCTCTAAATCAAAACACTCTCATCCATATTTTGTCTCTGTTTGTCTTTCTAACGCTTGATGATTGTAGCATTTTGACGAGTCCTCTTCTCAGATGAGTGAAACACCTACCGATTCAGCCAACCAAAACTACAATGGCCTATTTGATCACAGTTCTGTATCATTTAAAGCAACGGTTATCGGAATTTCTGTTACCCTAGTTCTGTTCATGACCTGCTCCTCTGGGTTTGCGGGGATCAAGCATCTACGACGAAAGATATCAAAGGAACCAGTTGACTTAGAAGCTGGAGTAAAATGAGGTAAAGAAAAACCTTAAGCCATTGTTATCATTCCGTTAACACTCCAAATTCTTTAAGTAATGTTATTGTATAAGGCGTATATTAATTGTGAACAAGAGATTTCCCTAAAGGTGTTTTAAACCAAACTTCATTTTTGCCTTATGTGTAATTGAAAGGGTCATTATTTAAAAACTTGCCATTCATGACAGTTTCTCAAGCAACGTCTCTTAAGTATCTAGAAGTTATGTGGAGACATCCCAATTTAGACATATCCTTATTTTCTCCGTAAGACTTTTATGGACGTTTTTGAGGTTGAACTCAACTTTTTTGGAGAGGAAGACATTTCTCGTCATGAGAACTTGTCATTACTCTATGGTGGACGTGGAAGCAGCTTTCTGCAAGTTGAGTTTACGTGCAGGTGATGTCTGCATTCGGTATTCTAAACATGTGTTCAAAATTGATTGATTCAAATAGGCAATAAATATCTATATAATGGAAAGTATATAATATCTATATAATGTTTTTTTTCTTATAATGAACTCTCGCACATCTTTAATATGTACAGTATGTGATAGTCATTCATTTGGTTTAAAATCAACAATTTTTGAAACAGAAACTGGATTTATTTTGAAAGAATTTGAAGGAGTGGTATTTCAAAACCGTATATCTTGGAAAAGGCTGTGCACATAAGGAAGACCAGATGAAGTAAGTCTCATTTATCAATCTCATTTCTCTCATAGGTTTCATTTTTATTCAAGGCTATGTACAGGGTATTTCTTTACAAGATATGAGAAAAGGTCAAGCTTGCTGCCACGTTTACTAACTTCCAATCCAATCTAATCCATTACCGTGCACATGCTGAGTTAAGATAACTTACCTTCCTCGCGAGCTGTATTAAAACACTGCATTAGCTTTTCTTTACTAAGCCTATGATTGGTCTGAAAAGTCTTGTCAGCCTTAGAACCAATCCGATATCCAAGTAAAGAGTCGTAATTTGGTCACTCGCGATTGTCCAGCGCTTCGAACTGTTTACTTGTTTTTACTTTAGACTCACTGACGCTATGGATATTTGACTTGTTCTAATCGGCAGTTTTGATTACTTTACCCAGTCTCGGATTTGCCATATTTAATCGAAATCCATGCTATTTCGCCTTTTCCCGCGGTCGCCCTTACTTAATGCACGAGTGCTTGAAACTATGGAGTTTTTAATCTATCGTTGTAATATGTGGATTGAGGATAGTTTAGCTTTATATAACTTAAATATTTTTTTTTTGGAAACTAGTTACACTAACATGACAACCAAATTTCCTGTTTTACTAATCAAAGTGAATCGTTCACATGCATATTTGGACAAGGTAACTTGGCTTTCAAGTTGATAGTCAGGAAGGTTAGTCTTGGTCTGGGGTCTTGTGACTGAAAACGAGCAGAAAAAAAATTAGCTTTGGTTATAATTTAAGGATAGACTAGATTTGAGATATGACTGAATCTTTGTAGAGGAAGTAGCCATTTTATAAATAATTCATAAAGTTTAAAATTTGTGTACTGCTTTCTGTCTTAATTTAAGAACTGAGTCGTGACAAGACTGAGCACTTCCACAAATATTACTGGATTACATTAAGTCAAAAGATAAACAAGGAGCTATGGAAGACCTTGAGTCGTTAATAAAAATTAATCAATACAAAATAAATGAAACTGACACTTGTAGTCATTATGCAAACTCGTACACTAAGCCAACAGTCAACATCGAGAAAAACACGATGAGAAGAATCCGAAAAGTTCTCCCAAACTGGTGCGAGTTACCATCCAGCATCTTTACTATGACGTCATTGTCATCAGCTGTCACTCGATGGTTCGACTCATTCTAAAGAGTAATTAAGAGGTTTCTGTGTCAATATAATAAAGATGACGACAATAAATCAGAAAAAAGCAAGAACAGTCCACTTTTAAAGGGAGCCTTAAAATGATGAATTACGATGGACAGATGAGCCCCAATTATCATAAAAAAAGAAGAATTCAGAAAACAGCCACACAATTTAACCTATGATTGATTTTGTTGTCTTTCCTTACGCTTCCCGCTTCCCCTCGGAACTCTTTTATCGATCAATAAACTTTTAAGGTAAAGATGTGCGAGTCAAGTCGATCAATAAAAAGAAAATTTTTTGATGGCATGTAAACAAAGCACAGCAAATTTTAAAACAACGAGTTGTCCGATTCAAGGATAAAAGGTGAAAAACCCTGCAATTTAGGTGCATATGTAAAGTGCCCCATACCTGCTAGAGTATTTTCAGATTGTGTAGCGTGAGGCTGCAAGGGTTATACTACTACTCCCGCTACGTCAAATGAAACCCATCTTTTAAATCTTGTTTGGAAAGAGGAGTTTGGGACGAAAGTATCTTTTTTCATAAACACTTCAAACGGACTCGATTGGAAACGGAAACGAAACGAATGAAAACGGAAATTTTCAAACGGACTGGACTTAGGCTTATAATTTAATTGACTTGAAAGTCCCCCATTTGTGCCCCTTTTTAAGCAAAGACATGCCATTTTTGGGGAAACCCAACTGACCTTCGCAAGTGTCTGCTGATGTGGTCAAAACGCTAACACAGGAACCTGGATTTATCTTTTGCAACTTACATGAAACACTTGGACGTGTCGTTAAATGACCTTTTTAACATCACGTTGTCTGTATTTAAAATGGTCTCTCAAGCACCCCAAGTACTCGTTAAGGGTATGATGCCCGCGTCTGATGACAAAGCCAATTGAGTGTTGACTTTCGAAGAACATCTTCACTACCCTCCGAGAGTCACCAATGTTGTGCATGAAGTATGAGGCAATGTATATGTCCGCCATATTCCTTCCACTTCTCTATTTTCCATGAATGCCTTGTACATTTGGTAGAAGTCAGTATAATCTACACAATCGACAGAAGATAATTAGCATCTAGATAAGTAATAGTAATAGGACTGAGTGGCGTTCGGGTCTTGGAGTAATCGGGCGAATGATTTGAAATTACCGTCACGATCATTAACGCTGAATTGTACGACACGAAATCCGATTACCAGTTAATTGTGTCGGTAATAAAATGCGAGAATATCAGGGATGAGAAATTCAATAAAAGAGTGCATATGCCTCTTATTGATACATATTTAGCTAAAGTTCAACGTTCAAAGTCTAAATATTGTTCAAATTATCCATGCAGTGTTCTTTCAAGATGTTTTCTTAACCTTATTTACTTCATTTTTGTTTTTGTATTGAGTTTTATTGACTAATGGCTTAAAGTGTTGAATTACTCTTTGTATATAGGTAATCACATGATTTCAAGTGCAATTTGGGATAAGTCATTGCGAATAAATTTTTCAAATGCTTAACAAATTGCCGAGGCCATAGGGTAAGTGCAATTCATAGTTTCTGAAAAATTTACGCGTGCTGATTTATCCCAAATTACACGACAAAAATAATGTTATTACTTGTTAACAATAAACAATGGCGCTATCTTCCTCTTTAGTTTTTTACTTTTTTTCGTGTCATGACTCACTGGTTCCCTTTGCCTTTTTGCAAGAGTGGTCAGGCTTCCCCCCCCCTTAAGAATTTGGTTGGAGCTTCTCAACTCTCCGTCACGAATAACTGGGTGTTTTTACTTTCTCTGCTAGTTATGGGGCGACAGAAGTTACCAGTACACAAAACGCAACAAGCTCGTTATCTTCCCCGTCTTTCTTACGAACTGTCGCGTAAAACTCCCTGAAAAAGTTTGTTCAAGGCCACTGATTCATACTTTTCAATGACCAAGACTTCCAGGTTTTTGCCAGTTCTTTGTGCTTTGTGTTTTTCTAGTTCTCCCTCAAACTATGAATTAAGACTTTGTTTCTTCTCGTAACCTGTCCACCATTTTTGAATTTCAACTTTCTGTGCTCCATTTCAATTTTTTGCACTCAATTTCAACTTTCTACACTGTTTGGGATTAATTGACGTGTTCCCAGACAATGGGCATGCTGAAAGTCATACATAAGAGCTGTTCAGAACCACTCATATTCGAGTATCAGTATTTTGTTGCTGAAACAATTAAACATACAAGATCAAGGTTTTTTTGTTGTTGTGATGGCATCTTTACCATCATAGGTTTTTATCCAGCTTTTCAGCGCATGATCAAGTTTTTTATCAGCATGAGCCAAGGAAAAATTTCATTGAAACGTTTGTCAAAAAACTGAGAGAAGTCACAAACTTCCTCAAGAAATTAAAAGAGGAAATTATTGGCAATCATGCCTTGAACATCAGTGCGTAATCAACCACCAAAGTGTCAACGGCCCGTTGAGAGTATGACAAAAGCGGCAAATAATCTGTATCACGTATCGTGAGTTACCATTAACATCTGCAGTATGTTTCAGAGCCTCGTCATAGGCGTGACAGTCTGCAAGAACTGCAACCTGCGTCAAAACGACCATGTGTCAGAATGAAAATGAATTTAAACTGTTACATTGTAGCGTAGAGGAGCTTTGAAATTACTTGTAATTAATCGAGGATCTTAATGGAATTGGTTATGAGATCAAGATCTACGTACTCGCCCAAGACTATCAAGACTTAAACATGGTGATGATGTCAGTAGACTGATCAATTTTCTTTGAATTTTCGTTGGCCTCTGTATTGTTTTGACATTTGTAACATCTAATAGAGTTTAAAAAGGTGAAATATTTATCCAAAATATGGAGAACATAATTTTAACTAGCCTCGGTAAAATACATACCTTAACTCCAAGTAAAGATTCTCTTTGATGGATGATAACGTCAGGACCCTCGTAAAAGTGGCCGTGAAGAACGAGCATAAGACAAGGTCGATTAGAATCCACAGGATACCAAACAAACGAGCCAAATAAGACTTGGGAATCGTGTTACCGTATCTGCCCGGGTGAAACCAAGTGAAATGTATGATAAGGAGTAAAATTAAATCCGTTTTAAGTGAGCACCTGCTGACGATTATGAATGTGAAACAAAGTGAATCATTCGGAGAAAGGGAATGAATTTGAGGCGATTGATGAAAACAATTGATAAAAACGGTAAGCAAAGAGCTAAGGGATTCTGTCTGTTCTATCATCCAGTATATCGTACCCTACTGCAGACATGTTCACAATAGACCACCAAATTCCCTCCATTACTTCTTGCACAAAAGAGCACGGGAAATGATTCCCGATAGCGTCCTTTCGAAAAGACCAAAGTTACAAATTCGTGAGTAAAAAGGACCCTAATGTAACTTATATTGGTTAGAAAAGATAAGTACAGCTGAATTAAGTATAAAGTTCAGGGCATTTCCAATTTTGTAAATCATGAATATGGCTAAATAGTTTCTTTCAATTTTTTTTTGGCCCACTCACAGGACACATGTGTTATGACCAAATCCAGACAGGTGCTCCATAAGCCCCCCCTCCTCCTCCCCCCCGTGAATCACTTGTTTTACGTCCCAAGCAGCATGATGATATTTTACATAATTAGCCTCACTTCTCTTCTGATCCTACAATTTGAGTAAAATCGAGTAATATGTCAAAAAGTCTCACAAGTAAAGGAAATATTTAATTATTGAAACTCCCATTCATTTTCCATTGAGGTGATTTTCTCGCATAATTTCTTTTTCCTCATCACTTTTTGCTAATCGTTCTGATCGTTAAAAAATGATAAGCCTCACAGGACCTCTGGAATCTTTAGGTGCGATTATTTTTTATCGCAGACGGCCAGTTCGACTATTTAATATAAGCAGTGCGATCAGTAGCATTAACTTCTGTGAGATTTCGCAAAACGTAGGTTTT